TTGAACCAAGAAACAATACATAAACATAGCCCATTCTTATTTTGGTTGAATTAGATCTACTAATCTTTTGAGTAACTTTGAACCAAATCCATTAATGTTCTCTCTCAAATCTCCCCCCATTTTGTATACCCTAAAAAACTCCGCCCCTCCAATAGCCGTTGCCACCCTTTCGCAGGCGCCAACCTGCTGCGGTGATGACCTCACTGGAGAACTGGAGTGTCTCCTTTCCCGACGTCCCCAGCAAATCGGCGAGGCGTTTCTCCAGTCCAGGTGGCCATTGCGGTGTTTCAGAGGGGTTCCGACGTGGTTGGTGGCCTCGTGGTTGTCGGTCGTCGTTTCGTTGTCCTTGGGCAGATGATGGCTGAGTTCTGAGCGGTGTATTCTCCCTAGACCATCTCGTCTCCTGATGCTGGAGAGGGTGGTTAGACGAGGGGGGCTTTGGGATGCCGGTGGGAGGTTTCCGACTTCTCCCGGTGGTTCGGTGTTGGGGGGTCGCTCCGGCTGGAATTCGCGGTGAGAGATGTAGTAGTTCCGGTAGAAGGAGGTCTGGCTCGCCCGGGTTCAGTTAGGCCTCGTATGTAGTTTGCAGTTTCCAAATCTAGTTTGAGTTGGGTTTTTTCTTTAGGTCCGTTCGTGCGCGTGGCTTGGTTGTCTAGTGCGGTTGTGGAGGGCTTTTTTTTGTTGTTTTGTTTGTTTGGTTTTTCTGTTTGTGTGTCGCTTGTGGTTTGTTGGTGTCTTGTTTTGTGGGCAGTGTTTTGTTTCTCCTCTTCTTTGGATGAGCGTGTTATTCTCGTGTGGGGAGTTTGTGTTATTATCCTGAGGGGGGTTTTTATTTTTTCTTCTCATGTTGTAGTGTGTGTTGTGGCTTCTACGCTATCTTGGGTGGTCCTCTTATTTCGGCTTCTTAGTGGGTTATAATTATATGTTTTAAATAATGAATTTGTCGTTTCGGAAAAAAAAAACTTTGAACCAAGAAACAAAACCTATAAAAGCTTAAAAGGGGTATTCTAAGCAACCGCAATAATTGAGGTCAAATTCGACAGAGATGAAAGTTGAATGAGATTGGTTGACCCACTCCTATCTTGAAATTTCATTTCCTCTCTTTTCTCTGGTTTTGATCAATCACCCATGGTCACTTCTCTTATGAAAAAAATTAGTTTGTGGGTTGGACTTTGAAATTTCCTATTCCAATTTTGTATTCCTTTTGGTGTTTTATTCAAGTAGATGAATAAGTACATAATTCCACCAATATTTGTGCTCCAAGAGAAAAGAAGGGTAGAATTAGAGATGATGGCGGTCGGGTATTCACTATTTTAAGGCCATCAGTATCCGAAATGTCACTACAAAATAAAAAATATCATCGTATTTCAACGGAAAATCCTACGATACTATATTTCAATAGAAATTTCAACGGATATTCTAATGTTATAGTTTTTATTGAAATGATTCCAATGAAAACTCCAACGGAGTTATTTCATTAGAATGGGTTTTCCATTGAAATTTAGATGGAAATTGATCATTTCAATGGCAATTAGTCCAATTGTTTTTTGTCGTAGAAATTTCTGTTGGAATATATAATTTTCATTGAAATTTTAATTTTTACCCATATTTCAACCGTTGGAAAAGTGTCGTTGGAATCGTCAACATCCAACAGAAATTCCAATGAAAACTCATTCAAAAAAAAAATGTTTTTGTTGCAATTTCCGTTGGAATCCATTGAAAAATTCTAATTGACGTAATTATTGGAAAATGCTGACCGCCATTAATGAGGCTAAAGCTTGAATAAGAAACAAGACAGCTAAACTTTAGAGATGCAGCAAAAAGTATCTTCTCATTAGAATGAATATGGAAGGCTAGAAAGCTATTACATTTATAGGCTTATCTAAACCCTAAAAGTCTAGCTAGGGTTGTTCTAGTGACCAACGGTCGAGATGATGATCAATGGCCCTAAAGGCCGAACAAGGAATCTCAGTGGTACAGTGACAGCTCACCATGCAGCCATGCAAGACAAAAATAGTACAAGGTAAAAACCGAGAGGTAAAAAGTAAAATCAGGTGCATGTGTTCTTATAGTTCTTCTTTTTGTTAATATTGCTTTCAGGCCCCCTCAATTCGAGCATGGGTGAGGGGACAACATGCAGTTTCTTCCGAAGCTTTGCGAAGAATTGGTGTGACAATGGTTTGGTAAATATATCCGCAATCTGATCTTGAGAGGGGACATGTTGCACTTTAATAATGTTTTTCTGCGTAAGATCTCTTATGAAATGGAGGTCGACTTCAAGATGCTTCATTCTTGAGTGATGAACTGGATTTTTTGCTAAGGAGACCACACCAAGATTATCTATCCAAATGATGGGAGTAGTGTGGATAGGACAATGTAGTTCTTGCAGCAATGATCGAAGCCACATGACATCACAGGTTGCCTTTGCCAAGCTTCGATATTCGGCTTCTGTGCTGCTCCTTGAGACTGTGGTTTGCTTCTTAGAGCTCCAGGTGATTAAGTTATTGTTGAGAAAGATACAAAAGCCTGAAACAGATCTTCTGTCATCAGGGTCTGTGGCCCAATCAGCATCAGCAAAAGCCATTATATGAGAAGAAGAACTCCTGTGAAGTTGCAGCCCATGCTCCAAGCTCCCAGCTAGATATCTGAAGATTTTCCTCATGGCTTTCCAATGTGTATCAAGTGGACAATGCATGAATTGGCTGAGCTTGTTGACACTAAAAGCAAGCTCTGGCCTAGTCACTGTGACATATTGGAGACCTCCAATCATGCTTCTAAATAAGGTGACCTCATCTATTGGAGAGCCTTCTGATTTTGAGAGAGGAGGATGAGTGTTCATTGGGACTGTGGAGCCCTTAGCTGCTTGCATGCACATTTTGACCAGTAGCTCTTGAATGTATCTCTTTTGAGAAAGAAATAGACCATCTGAATTGTGAATGAATTCAATGCCCAAAAAATAATGGAGCTGTCCAAGGTCTTTGACTGGAAAATGGGTCTTTAACTTGAAAATCACTGTGTCAACTTCAGAGATGGATGATCCTGTAATAATGATGTCATCTACATAGGCCATGATGATGGTTGTAGAAGTAGGAGTATGTTTATAAAAGAGACAAGTGTCAGATTTAGCAATGCAGAAGCCCAAAGATTTAAGGACTGAGGTGAGTTTATGTGACCATGCTCTTGAAGCCTGTTTGAGGCCATAAAGTGTTTTATGAAGTTGACAAACAAGTGTGGAGTCATTTTGGTCCTCAAACCCAGGAGGTTGAGCCATATACAAATCAGTGTCCAAGTCTCCATTAAGAAAAGCATTTGCCACATCTAATTGTTTGATAACCCAGGATTTAGAAAGTGCTAGAGTTAGTATAACTCTTATAGTGGCTGGTCTAACCACAGCACTAAAAGTATCTGTATAATCAAAACCTGGAGTTTGGGAGTATCCTTTAGCTACAAGTCTGGCTTTGTACTTGTCAAGAGAGCCATCAGCCTGAACCTTGGTTTTAAACACCCATTTGCAGCCTATTAATTGCTTGTGAGGAGGAAGTTTGGTCAGAGTCCATGTGCCATTTTTCTGAAGAGCTTGAAGTTCTTCAAGCATGGCTTGTTTCCATATGGGATTGGTGAGAGCCTCTTTAACATTCTTTGGTTCAGA